AACCCAAAAGGGATAAAAATAAGGCTCATCGACCTCGCAAACTCATCTGTCTCCTGCACAAAGCAATCAACAAATCCCCGCTTAGCCAGACAGCTTTGGAAACTTCTGTGTTCATGTTTGGCCTCGCTCGGCTTATTAGCTTATTTGGAGCCAAAAGGCATCTGCAGCCAGTTCGATGGGTTGAAGCGACTAAATGTGGCGGGTCAGGGTTCTGGAAAGCAGCAAGAAGCGAAACTGAGGAAAAACCTGCTTCAAAATTAGTCCCACATCCTGACAGAAGAGCCGTGGCATGAACAGAAACCGTTAGTGAGGAACATTTGCAGATGAAAGTTGTTTTTTGTTTTAACGTTACACTCCCTAAACATGATGTAAAACACATGAAGCGCGTCCTTGCAGAGCAGAAAAAGGAGGTTTGATTTTATATAACCATCCACTGGAATCACCGAAACACCGCTGAGGCTAAATACCTGCTCAATGACGAGTCTTACGCAACTAAATGCAAAGTTTTAGCGGAGGTCAAAGCCGCTGCTCGGTCCAAGCTGAGGGTTTTTGTGGAACCTTAAATAACCTTGACATTTCAAGGTATCCGGCGCTACGACCTGAGCTCTGTGATGAATCAGCATCAGTGGACTCAAACGTTCAGTTATGGTTTATGACTGAACGGGGTTTTCCTGCTCCGACAAAAGAGGAACCTGAATGACTGTGCTTTCATTCATGCTCGACGACCGCATCAATGGGACTCTTCTTAATCCTCCACCGAAACGTGGCACAAACTACCGTGACGCGGTTACGCTCGGCTTTGTGGTTTGTGAGGTGCAGATTTATGGTTCATCTCAATTCATTTTAACCAAACGTCCCGAAAATCCGCACAAGAAGCCGTGAACTCATCTCCTGTGAACGGGTTCTTCGGTCGGAGTTGGAGGGACGTCGTTAAAATAGATCCAGTCAAAGCTCAAATGACGTTAAGTTATAAGGACACATTTATAATTTGACGTTCTTGCAAATGTCCAGGATTTCTAACTCTGCAAAACTGAGAATATGTAAGAAAAAGGTGGACAGAAACGCACTTATTGCTTCATTACCTCCAGGCTTTAGTCGTATTAACTCCAGGATGTAGCACAGATTGGTAAATAAGGTTACAAATAACTCGCAGCTGCTTAGTTTTTTCCCCCAATTTAGGGAATCCAAACAAGTTGATTATCAGAGTTTGATTCTTTTGCTTGTTTGTTGTTTTGTTCTCCAACTATAATAAGCTACCAGCAGGAGTCAAGCCTCCAAGTCTGCAGGTTAAAGAGAGAATGAATCATCTATTCTTGTTTGAACTTCTTATAAACACGTTGCTGTGTTTGATGGGAATTTATTCTGCAACATAAAGGCTACACAGAAATTTCTCGACAGAAAAACGCCATGACAGATGTGCTGAATGACCGGTTCACAGGGAACCACGAGGCCGAAAGGTGCACGATGACTGCGTGGAGTTTCCCAGCGACACAGGAAGCAGCTCGGTTGTGGTTATGACGAGACACAAAGCGATACGAACTGGAAAGGTTTAACAAACCCACACAGTTTCTAAGATTTTCCTTGAGCAGCTTCACAATGAAGTCATCTAATTCCAGTTGCATTATTAAACCTGCAGATTATTACGATTACAGTCAGTGAAACGCAAAAAAAAAACATAACAGTTCATCACACCCGTTCAGCCGAGAGAATCGGTCGGTGACGCGAAAAATGCATAAATATGTTTCTATGTTTGGACAAGTTGTCACACTACAGGAGAGACATTTTAAGCTCTCTCCACTTCTACCAACAGCTACTGCTTTATATCGCAGTGAAAAATGGGCCCACAGTGAGTAATAATGTGCACCAAAAAGCCCAGGATTTGTTTGTGGTTAAATGTTTTGAACTAAAAACTGTAAAAAAGTATTGCGAAATGTATGTTTGGCATTGCAACGGGAACCTACGTGCACTCAGCAGGTGATGCAGGAAATGCTTGTTTTAATGTTTGGTCCTGATCTGATGCCAAGTCTGAACACAATAACCTTAATTTCACCTTGATTTGGCCCAAAACTAAAGTGATCAGACCTAAATGCACTTCTTGGGTATCATGATTAAATATATGAGGCTTAAAGTTTAACAGCTCTAAGCTCAGGCTGCACTGAGCGGCTAAGTGATTAATCACTTTCTACCACCAGCGCTTGTCTCTTGCAGTAACACTACTTTTTTACCATCATCAATGCTTATATTCTTTATAGCGCTCCCTGTTTGTCTAATAACGCTTCTTAGAAAAATGCTCTACATGTTGATTCCAGGTCGAATTATTTACTTATTTTCTTACATTTATATAAAACAGATAACCAAGAAACAAACTAAACTTACTTTTTTTTTTTTTCATTTCTACCAATGGTTGTGCAGTTTCTGCTTTATATTGGAGTGAAAAATGAGCCCACAGTGAGTAAAAATGTGCAAAAAACAACATAATTGCTTGGGCTTTACAGGGATAAATGCTTGAATGAAAAAAAAAAAAATCTCTATCGAATCTAAAAACTGACTGAATGGCAAAATAAATATAACTGGCATGATTAATAATTTCCTAGCAGCATTCCTTTCTGTGCAAATGTGCAAAAAACACCAAGAAATCAGAGTCTGATGAAGGAAAACCTGACTTAGCCAATTAAAGTTGGTATCTTCGATTGAGGTTTAGGTTTTGTTGAGCCCGCTAACACAAAGAAAGTCGGGCTTTGTCAAATTTGCTTCATAGTGGAGCCCTCAGGTAAGGTAGAATACAACATTTCCAGGCAAAATATTGTGCAGATTCTGCTTTATATTGGAGTGAAAAATGAGCTGACAGTGAGTAAAAACGTGCAAAAAGCACCGAGTAATTGGGGTTTAGAGAGTTAAATGCTTGAATCAAAAAAAATCTCTGTCGAGTCTAAACTCAACTGACCGACTGAGAAGTAAAATTAGCATCACAACTGGCACGATTAATCGTTTTCTACCGACGTTCCTTTTCTGTGCAAATGTGCAAAAAACAGTCTGATGAAGAAAATATGAAAGCTGCTATTGTTTAGGTTTTGTTGAGCTGGCTAACACAAGTCTGGCTTTGTTGAACCTGCTTCACGTGCAGCCCTCAGATAACTGAAAGTGAATGGATTCCAGACTGTTTGAAGCTGAAGAATGAAGGACTGTAAACACGAGTACTAACCCACATTTCTGTTCCAAACGAAGAGTATTCTGACCTAAACTTGACCTCCTCTTACAGTTAAACTGCATTAGGGCAGGTCCAAATGATGCATGCATGCAACAAGGCATCACAAACATCACTTCAGAGCCGTGCGTCGACCCTGCGCGAACTCCACAAACAAACTCTGCTTCATATTTAGGGGATGTGGCTCCCATTAGGCTTTGATGAAAACATTCATTAGCGGCGAACCTCGCAGCACACTACAAAGAGCCGAGATGCTCTGGCAGGCTGGTATTGATACAGCGCCTGATTCTGCGTGTGCATTTGATGTGACAATCCCGTTTATGTGATGACAAACATCTTAAAAACAACAACAGAACCACTGACTCAGGTCCAGGTCTGGCTTCTGGGCTGCATCTGTTGGGTGTTTCTTTGAGTGTAAACATGTAAGCACTATTCTACAACTCTCAAGAACAGGACAGTCTGTCAGTATCTTGATCTTTTTTAATGCTGAAATGCTTCGTTATACGCTCAGAACAACGGCCTGCTTTCAGAGCTTTAAAACCCTCAGTCACAGCCAATACATCACCCCGCCAGTTCGCTCCAAGTTTGGGTTTCCTGGTCCAAATATGGCCGCCAGATTTCCAAAAATCCACAGCGAAACAAAAGCCAAAAAAAAAAAAGCCCAAACGCTGCAACCTCGCTGTGGAGTCACACTGCAGCATAAACGAGGTATCTGGGAGGTCAGCAGAGGGTCAGACTTTGCATTAAGGTCATCGTGTTTGACACTCATCACAGTCTCCGGTTGCGCTTTTGCATTTTATTAAGCTCCTACAAGTGGCCACACTTACGCAAGAAGAGCATTCAGGTTTCAAGGAGCTGTCAGACCTTTGCAGATTGAGGAATTTTGTGTCAGTTCCTAAAAGAGAAAAACCCACTTTCTTTGCTTCTCGGGTCCTTCTGAGTATTTAAAGCGACAGCAGAGTTGCATAAGTTGCGTTAATTCTTCTGCAAACCCAGAACAAATAGTTCGAGGTGAGGCTACAGACTTCTCTTTGTGAGGAATGAGACCAAAATGAGTCAAAGTCTAGTCCAACTGGGTTTGATTTCAGAGTAAATATAAATAACACACATTAACCCTCTGAAAACCAGGCACACTATGATTTAAAAAATAAAACAAATAAAAACATTTCACCAATTTTCAGAGCCATGTAAAAACAAAAAGAACTGGATTGAAACATGAAGTAATAGTCAGTAAAAAAAAAAAAATAAAAAATCAAATTTAAGCTTAAAATCGCTTCGTTCTACACGCCTCGTTTAAATACACTCCAAAAATAAATATTTCGGTAAATAACAAAAAATTCTGTCTCTCCTCTGAAGTTTTCAGTTGAACGGCAGCAAATAGGAGGCAAGTATGTAAAAAAATAAAAATAAAAATGTATGTTGCAAAATATCTCTAATGTGTAGAGTTTTTTTTTGTTTTTTTTTCCAGAATTGATGACATTGATCGGAACTTGGAAAAATATTCTATATATAGAAGTCTTTTGGCAAAATAGATAATAAAGAAACTCAACGTACATTTTTGAGTTCTCTCTATTTCTTGTGGACTTTGTGCTTTGTATTGCAGTGAAAAATCAGCCAACAGTCAGTAAAAATGCACAAAAAACACCCAGAAATTGAGTGTAAACGCTGTAAACAACAACAAAAAAAAAACAAAACGTAAAAATGTCAAAATCCAAGCACCAAGCGTTGCACACGCGCGTATGAAATACAACATTTCCCAGCATGCACTGCCAGGAGCGTGAAGCGTCGGACTCACTTGGCGTCCACGATGTCGTAGAGGTTCTTGAGGAAGTCGGAGTCCAGGTGGTTGTGTTCTCCGGTCAGCGTGTGGAAATAAACCATGACGTACTCCTTCACCGTGATGTGGTCCATCACGTGGATGAAGTACAGCAGCGCCTGCAAACACAGACACAGTAACACAGATTACGGTTTATTGAAGTATTTTACATGGTGACACAGGATTCAGGTACATTCTTATCAAATGTATTAACTACTTCAAAATAAATATTTGACTCTGAAGACATTCAAACTGTGAACAGACGAATGCGACTTGAAATGAAACCAGATTGGTACGGTTTGCAGAGCGTGAACACGGATTTTGAAAAGACAAACACAGACGCTCTGAACCTGCCGGTAGCTGCTGCAAACATTCAGCCACTAAACCAGACGGTGCTTTCTTTTTTTGCTGCGTTTACCTTTTCGATGTCGATGAGCGTCACCGGGATGTTTCGTCCGACCACGACCATCACCGTCCTGCCGCACATGTCCACGCCTGCAGATGCAAAAAGTTTGACACGGACCCAACAAAGATATAAAAAAAACCCTGGAAACTCCACAACAGAGTAAAAAGGTCCACTTTTGTATGATTTTAATATGTTGTCTTTAGATTGGAGACTTTTCTTGATTCCCAGCATCTAAAAAGTGATGATTTGCAACTTTTTTTGTGCATTTTTGTGTCTTTACAAACTGAATGTCTTCGAGGTTTTGGAGAAAATAAGAAGTCTTTTACGTGTTACTTTAAGGCTCTGACATTTTGTAGATTAAATAATGAACAATTGATTTATTGCAAAAATAATCATCAGGATATTAGATGAACAAAAGTAAAATTTGTGTGACATTTATAATAACTCAGCTGAAAGTTATCTGAAAAAAATTGCAAGTTGCCTGCATCTGCAACGATATCATATATTTAACTTAATCCATCCTCTGACACACATTCCAGTTTCTATGATAAATAAATGATTTAAATGTTTTTTTTAAGCAAAGACGCCGAACATTCTCTGTTTTTGTGGTTCTCGAATGTCACAGTTTGTTGCTTTTCTTTATTTAATGTGATTTTAAATTGATGTTTTCTGTATATTTTTAGTTTTTTGGACTATTTATGAGCCGAATTAAGTGATTTATGATGCAACCAGCGACTATTTTCATGGTTAAAATATCTATTAATTGCTAAAAACAAATAATAAACTATTCAGGATAGAGCACAGTTAGCCAACGGATCAGATTAGTTTTTAAATTTAGCTTTAAGCTAAGCAATAAAGACCATAAAGATGCTCGTTGTGTACTCGTGTACTACTTTTGTGTTGAGTTTCCCCCAGTTTTACACTCTGTACTGTATTTATTACTTCTGGAATTAAAAGATAAATGATAATTTTGCAAACACAGATGCTCAAAATGATTAAAAAGAAAATCTGGGTGGTCTTTAGTTTGAGAAAGGACGCTGAACAGAGCATTTAAATCTGACAACTTATTGGACCCTCAGCTGGACGACAACGCTGCCTCCTGCTGGTGGAGATGTAAAATTACACCTCACAACTCAGAAAGGAGATGATACATTTAATTTACCAGTTGTTGTTTTTTCTTTTTTTAATCCTACAAACAAAGGCTGGGGAAGTAAATGACTGCACACAACCGACCACACTCACCTCTGCATACGCCCTTTGTGTTTCGTTTCACATTTGCAGAAATGAGACCGAAACCTACAATAATCTAAGTAATGAGTCACCTCCCTCGTTTAGCACAAACACCCACCAGTTTGATATAAGGCCTTCAGGGCAGCAATGTCTGACAGATCTTCTGCTCTCGCTCGACACAACCAGCGACTGTAGCTGCAGGAGGGAAAGAGAAACAGCTTTGATTTATGCCTCGTACATTAAACACACACCAGATAACACAGAGCGGACACACAGCTGAAATACTGCTACTCTACAGAAACTTCACTGGGAGGTAAAACGTTAAGGCAGGAGGGACATTTGTGAGTTAATAATTGATGCAGACGAGCTCTAAATAATCTCTGTTGTGACTTGCAGGGATGCACAGTTCCTCCTGCAGTAAATTAATCGCTGTTAGCTGTAAATATGAGCTTATACGTGCTGCAAGAAACACCACATTGCAAACTCTGACGTTACACCAGTGCTTTTTTTTTGTTTTTAAGTCTTTCATCCTTTCAATTGAGTTTTCAATACTTTTTATAGCAGAGAAAGAAATATTTAAATCAATAGAAGTTGTTAATGCCGCATCAAAAAAAATACACAGCTGCAGGTAAAAAAATTGTACTAGCAGGTAAAAGTATAGAAATATTAGCCAAAAAAAAGTTCTTAACCGTCTAAACCTCAAAACCAGCCATTGTGTTTGAAAGACATCTGAGGAAAAAAAAACACTAAACTTTTAAATTATACTATTTATCAGAGACAGAAGCTGCTAAAACAGAAAAATCTGTAACTTCTGGTTCAAAATTAACCAAATCTAAGCTTAAAATCATGATATTTAATCAAATACGTAGAATTTTCACTGTCGCATTTCAAAATTCACCAACAATAAAACACATTCTGTATAAAAATCGACACTCTTATTAACCAAGAAGCTATTCGTGAATCTGACCACAGAACTTTCCTCCAGAAGGACTTTTATGTGTCCGTGTGATCAGCAGCAAATTTACAGTCCAATTTTAAGATGCCATATCTGGAGAAAGGACCTCTTCTTTGCATTGCATCACTCATGGTGATGTCAAACACACCTGACTGTGGAAACTGACAGCAGTCTTCTTGGTAACTAAACACTTTTGTCCACGACTGTACGAGGAAGCTCTGAAATAATCCAAGAATATACAATACAAGAAGAGAAGAAAGCACTGGGATGAAGAACCTGAAGGATCAGAGTAATTGATGTTGTCTGTGGGAGCTGGATTAGCAGAGGGAAGAATGTAAACAACGACCAGGATGGCTGGTTAAAACTCCCCGGTTACGTCATATGGAGGTCGCTCCACGGCTAACAGTTCAACACGTTGTCCCTTAATGGTAAATGACATGCTATTATTACATAAAAGTGTGTGTTTAAGCCGTACGCGCCGGTTACGTTAGAGTTTGGTTGGATTCTTACTTTCTCTGATGCTGTTTCTGCATGGCTGCCTCCGACATCTGGCCCTGTAGGATCAGTTTCCTCTGTTTGTCCACGTCGCCCTCCATCCGAGCGAAGGCGTGAGTCCCCACTTGACCCAGATCCAGGTCCAGGTTCTCCTCTTCGCAGTCATCTAGACAAACACGTAGTGAGTTTTTATTTACTTGAAATTCACATTCCTAGCTTTAATGGATTCGGGAGTTGCTGTAAAGTTGGATTGGGCACGTTCACTCCTGCAGTTTGAGACTCAAAATCAGTAAAACATGTAGAGCCTGGCTTCATCTCTCATGTCATTTTTCTCCCACAATATTTATTACATGCTTATATTTATCAAATTGCTAATCGTATTACTAATTTGCAGCGACGTCCTTGCTTGTTTATTTTATCACACACTTCTGAATTTATCTGCAAGCATGTCAGGCTCAGGTTTATTTTTGCTTGTTTCTCTGTGACCACATGCATGTCCACGCATTTTATCAACATCCAAGGCCACGTCTGTCTGTCAGTGTGTATACATCAGCCTGTTGTCATTGGGTTTCTCTTGCAGGCCGCCTGCTTGCTTGCTTTGGATCAACACCCCGAAGCCACATCTCGCTGCTTTGAAGCGTCACGCCAGCAGACATCACGCTGGAGGTCAGCGGAGGCGACTGGCTCAACATGGAAACCGCAAACACTAACACATGGGCTGGTGTTACTTTTACGATCCTCTTCGCCCCCAAAACCTAACATTTAGCAAAAGCTTAGGTTAGGTAAACTCCAGAGGTCATAGAAAATACAGTTTCTACGGCGAGTTTAAGGTCTCGAAACGCCTTTTTGTTCTGCTTTGTCTTATTTCTATGCAACACAGTCAGCTACAGTACCGTCTCTGGAATGTTAAGCCTTTCTCAGTTGCTTTAAAACTACAGTAGAAATGATCCCCTTTACATAAACACTGAACTTTATCAGGTACACATGTTCAACTGCTTGTTAACACAAATATCTACATGGCAGCAACCCAGTGCATCTAGGCATGTAGACTTGTGGGTCAAGACGACCTGCTCAAGACCAAATTCAGCTTCATAAATGAGGAAGAAATGTGATTTAAGTGACTTTGAACATTTGTACATAGTTTGCTCTATTTCAGACACTGCTGAGCTGCTGGGATTTTCCAGTACAACCATCTCCAGGGTTTACAGAGAATGACGTCAAATGACCAGACGAGATGATAGAAAGACAACAGCAACTCAAGCAACCAGCCAAGGTCTCCACAAGAACATCTCTGAACATACAACATGTCGAACCTTGAAGCAGATACAGGAGCAGAAGAAGAACACAATCCTGTCATCTAACAACAGGAAACTCAGGCTACAGTTGGCTCAGGTTCACCAAAATTGGAAAAACGCTGTCTGGTCTAAAGAGTCCCGACATTCAGATGGTCAGAATTTGGCGTAAACATCCGAAATCATGGATGCATCCTGCCCTGTATCAACGGTTCAGGCTGCTGGTGGTGTAATGGTGTTTTGGCTCCTTAGTACTAACTGATCTAAACACCACAGCCTCCCTGAGCATTGTTGCCGACCACGTTCATCCCTTTATGACCACAGTGGAGCACCTTCTTCATCTCAAACATGACGATGAGTTCACTGTATTCCAACGACCTCTACAGCTACCGGACGGCTGTAGCACGAAGCCAGATCAGAGGGCTAGCGACGTTTGTTGAGCTTAAAGTCAGAGTTTTCAGTGTCACGAAGGTGGCTCTCTTTTTAACTGCTAGATCTCCATGGTGACTGATGCTGTGGAGCTAGATCTCCATGGT